TAAAGACTTTTTAAGATAAGAAATTAAAAGCTGTTTAGTACCTCTTATTAATTCCATTCCTAATATTAAAACTATATGTTTAAAGGCTGGAGAGGTGGCTCAGTGGTTAAGAGCACTGACTGTTCTTCTAAAGGTCCTGAGTTCAATTCCCAGCAACCACATGGTGGCTCATAACCATCTGTAATGGGATCTGATGCCCTCTTCTGGTGTGACTGAAGACAGCTACAGTGTGCTCATACAGAAAAGAATAAATCTTTAAAAAAAAAAACTATGTATTTAAATAAATTCAGTAACTATAATTGTTCAGTTGCCAGCCTTGCCTTTCTACCACTTTGTTATTTTTGTAAGATGTATTTGTTTATGTATTATAGGTATATGGTTGCCTTGTCTGCATGTGCATCTACACACCAGAAGATGGCATCAGACCCCACTATAGAAGGTTTTGAGATAACATGTGGTTGCTGGGAATAGAACGCAGGTCCTCTGAAGAGCATCTAGTGTGCTCTTAACTTCTGAGACATCTCTCCACGACCTGCCTTGTCAGTTTTTACATTAAATTTTTATTAATGCATAAAATAATGGGTTTCATTATGCAGTACCAAACATCTCGATTCATGTATTTTATTCATGTTCACCATGCCCAACTTACAGCTTTCTCCTAGCTCTGCTCTCAGCACTGGGTAGAACCCCTGAAATCATCACTGGGAAATGCAAATTATAACCACACTGAAATGTCATTTCACATCCACCAAAATACTATAGTTTTTGAAGGGAAATGTTTATTAAAATAGGTACGTATAATATGCGGTGTGTATGTACAGATGGCCCACCATACATTTAATTTCATGAACACATTGTTCCTGTTACCAGCTCTGACTTAGCACTCAGAAGGCACATGCTAATCTCAGTAGTGTAATGGTTTGTCTTTTCCTTTCCCTGAGAAGCAATGTATGACTTCATGGTGGTGCACTGATTGTACTCAAAAAGGAACACAGTCAAAGCCACATTCTTGACTTCTTGCCCATTCTACACTTCTAGGACAAACCAAAAGTCAAGTGTTGGCATTCTAATTCAGCAATTACCATAGCAACAGTAGTCATATTCAAAGACAGAAGGACGGGTCAAGCCTTTCAGCTTATGCTTTTCTTAAGATTGCATTCATTTATAAATTAGTAACTCTGGTATGTATGGGTCCCCATACAATGGGATATATATACTATTAGAAATTAGTAACTCTGGCATGTATGAGTCTATACATAATGGAAGCATTGAAGGCTTCCAAAATATTTAAATTTGACCATGGGGAAATTAAGTTAAAAAAATAAGGTATGGAGACAGTATCTAGAATGTACATTGTAAGTCCTAGGAAATAGTAAATCATAGATTATAATGCAGAGTTGAGGTAATTTTTAATAAAAGATTAAGTGAAAGCGCTTTCTGGTCTACCATGGTTTTCTCTATGCATTTAGCTAATGCAAAACTGGGTCTGTAAAGTTCTAAGAAACAAAGCAACAGAAAACAAAACTTTTTTTTTTTTTTTGGTTTTTCGAGACAGGGTTTCTCTGTGTAGCCCTGGCTGTCCTGGAACTCACTCTGTAGACCAGGCTAGCCTCGAACTGCTGAACTCAGAAATCAGCCTGCCTCTGCCTCCCAAGTGCTGGGATTAAAGGCGTGCGCCACCACTGCCCAGCAAAACAAGACTTTTTTAAGCAATGAAGAAGGAAGAGTACCCGTACTTCATTTCCTCAGTCGTAACCATTTTGACTGAACTACTTTCAAATACACAAGAATAATGAAAGACCCTGGGAATTTCACAATCTAACCTTTGACCTAAGAGCCCTAAACTTTCCTTTTAATGAAAAGTTAGTATGAGTCTCATTATTCATTCATTTTATGTACAATTACCTAAGGCTAAGAGAAAGTAATGGTCAAAGTTTTAATTTTATATAAATATAATTTTATAATTTATACAACTTAGAAAAATAAACAACCATGAGACACCTTTAAATTCACAAAATCGTTTACTTACTTACTCTCTTTGGGTTATCTATTTATGAGTCTAATAAAACTTCAAAGGGCTAGAAGTCAAGGTACGAGAAGGGTGAAGGTGGGGAGAACAGACGCCAAGGACTGCTAACAAGTAAGAATCACCCCGTGTGCCCATTGAGCTGTGCCAGGGACTCTTAGGTGATGGGGAGCACAACAGAGAAAGTGGGTACATGCTTACGGTCTGTGGGAGTGTATAATGTAAGGCCTGAGTAACTGATGCCTGTCTAGCCAGCCATTTTATGCTGTTACTTCTGTTACAAGGAAACTTTCTCATTATTGAGTTGATTGCATACTCTGTTATGTTCTGTGCTTTGGTGTTCTTGGAAACCAATCACAATAGAGGTCAATTAGAACTTCTTTGTGTAACTACTGCAGCATAAATCATAGCATATATATGTCATAAATATACAATAGGACTTGACAGACAGTGATGGAGGCTGAGTTAAGCTTGTTTATAGATAGAGCTAGCTGTACAACAGCTAGAGAGAGCTAGCTCTCTCTCTCTCTCTCTGAGAGAGGCAAAGTCAGAAACTTTTCCTGGTGTCCCTCCTGGTCCCTCCTGCTGACTCACACTGAGGCTGAGGCCCGGCTGTCTCTGCTAGGTAGGGCCACTGCTGCTAATTTGTGTTTGCTATCCCAACTCTACCAAACTGGACTGCTGGATCTGTGAAGTGTTTGCGAGTGGATGGAGCTGCTGCCGCTGCTAACTGTGAACTGAACTGCTGATTTCCAGACAACACAGATGGGAGTTGCTACAAAGAACCTTTCTAAACAGATCCACTTCCCTGTATCCTTTCTTTCCCACTACCTCTGGTGGTGGGTGGTGGGCTGTGGGCTAAAAGGGAGGTTAAAGCACTTAAGAACCATCATTAAAAATAGGTTTTGAAAGACTAAAGATACAGTGGGATTCATATTGAGCAGATAAAGAAAAACAAACAATGAACTGCTTTTGGCAAAAATCCTCCATCTAGGTTTTTCTGGTAATTTCTGGTAAAATTCTTTAGCACAACAGGCTTATATAGTGTATTGAGAATTTTGGTTTCTCAACACAAAACAAAACTCAAAACAAAACCCAGTTATGTCATGTGACTATGTTTTTGTCTTAATCCCAGGTGTGGGATAAGAAGCTGTTTCATAGCAGGTGATTATAATTTTCCTTGTGCACTAGCAGGGGTGTGGTTTCTCCTTGTGCACTAGCAGGGGTGTGGTT